TCACTGGTTAACTGGTCATCATTAACCTCACGCAGACTCTCTCACTGGTACATTTTCATCTTTAAATCACTTCTCGGTCTGCTGCCTTCATACATCTACATGTCTGCGTGAGTGCAGCTACAGCATGTGCTCTCAGGACATTATTACCTGCAGTGTTCCCTCAGTGAGGACTGAACTTGGCAAAAGGGCCTTCTTCTACTCTGCTCCTGTTTCCTGGAATATCCTACAAAAAGATCTGAAGCTCTCGATCTTGACCTCTCTAAGTGGCTTCAAACAGCTGCAAAGTTCCTGGCAAAAACCAATGCAGACATGTTCCTGTTTTTAATATCCTACATCGCTTTACAACCTAGCTGTTTTTGTTTTGTTTTTAAAACCATTTTCTTTCACGTGTTCTTATCAATTTGTATGCTTCCCTTGTTTATTGTTTATTGTAGTCTTGGTTGTCCTCTGTTGTCATCACTCTTTGTTAAAATCATGTCTCTCTTGTAAATGAGTCCCAGAGGCTCAATGGGATTAACCTGTAGAAATAAAGGTTAAATGAACTGTGCAAATAGTTTCAGTGAAAGGAGAATGTCATTTTTAGTTTTGGCTTTCAGTTATACTGTCTGTCCTGTTTAGTTCACTAACATCAGGTTTAGCTGTTTTTTTATTTTTTTCCAAAGATGGTCCAGATTATCAGCAATGTCACAGATCCACAGAAGAATGGACAAAGAAAGATATTTCTATGGACGGAAAGCATGAAACAGTGCAATGTCTTACAAATGGTATATTCATTCAACCTTTATTTAAACAGTCACATTGAGCCTCAAAGACTCATTTACAAGTGAGACCTGCTTGGACAGACAATAAAACGTTGTGAAAAATGATACATGGGGTTTGGAGACAAAAAAAAAATTCCTAACACGCTTTTGACCTCTGTTTGAAGGTCAAAAATGTGATAATGAAACAAAATCTCACACACTGGCACATAATGACATCAACATTATGCAGGAGGGGGGGACGCAAGGGCAGTGAGCAGCCAGAGACAACACACAGAGGCACTGCAGAGTTCAGATAAAATCACTCAGTTCAAATAGTTCCTTCTGGAGAGATCCGTGCACACTCGGGGGGTGTCGAGGACGACCAGAGACGAATCCAGAGTCCTGAAATGATGACAGAATGTTTATTCAGCTGGGCTCCTCTGAAAAGTTCATGGAAAATTCCTCAGTAGGAGGGTGGGAGGGGTTAGAGCATCAGGTTTACAAAACTTCCAGGCAGGTTGAGATAAGATGGCCTGTCAAGGCCAGTCAGGGAGCCAAATTCAGATAAACACGATTGTTTTGGGGACAGGCAGAACTTTAATGACATCTACCTTGAGTCTGTGTCGGTCCACTCGGATTCAAAACGTCCAAATTAAATGACCATGCCAATGGAAAATGCTTGAGAATAATCCCCGAGATCTGATCCATTCTGCCAAAAAGTCTGGGTGCTCGAGGCACGAACCAAGCCATCATATAAGGCAGGCAGCCTGACCAGGTCCAGATTTGCTGCCGACGACTTCCTTATTTGTTGATAGACCAGGAACCAGCCGAATCCAAAAAGCAGGAACCAGTTATCATAAATCCAATTATAAATGCATCCTTAAAATCCACAGATGAACGCAGAGATAGACACGCCATCAAGTCTTTAAAGTGGATGCGCCTAAAGCCTGTCTTCTCTTCAAAGAAATGTTATCAATTGTGTTGAGGGACCAACTGACCAAATCCAAGTCCGTAATTATGATTCGAAAGATTTGTAGAAGAGAGGTTCTAAAGCAATTTCACAGACAGGACAGAGCAAAAGCAAAGCAGAGAGGGAGAGGAGGAGACGTCTGCCCTTGAGAAGAGCAAGTGTTGAATGTATAAAAACATTGAATAGTTGAGAAAAATGAACAAAGATCAAAGAACTGTGAAAAGGTTTGTGTGGGATTCAGAGTCTGGACAGATCCATTCAGATCAAGACATGAAGGAAAGTTTCAATGACTTGAATTCAGAGCAGCTGCTAAAAACCACCAATGGCTTTTTAAAGTTCTAATCTTCTTCTTCTTCTTCTGGCTATTCCCTCTTTAGGTGTCTCCACAGCGAGTCATCCTCCTCCATCTCTATGCTTTTTTCTGAATCCATAAAGACACAATGGAGTTCTTTCTGACCATCTCTGTACTTCTCCATCAGCATCCTTAAAGCAAAGATGGCCTCTGTGATGCTCTTTCTCAGCATGAAACCATACTGCTGCTCACAAATATGGGCTTTTCAATAGGGGCGGCTGTGGCTGAGTGGTTAGAGTAGTCATTCTCCAATGCAAGAGTTGGGGGTTTTATTCCACCAGCAGTCACATGTTGAAGTGCCCCTGGGCAAGACACGGAACCCCTCATTGCCTCTGATGTGTGTCCCATCAGTGTATGAATGTGATAAAGCTCTGATTAGTCTCTTTAGAATGATTTGTTCTATTAGCTTTGTATAGATCTAGTAGAGTGCTGTATGAATGGGTAAATGAGGCACAGATTGTGTTGTAAAGCGCTTTGAGTATCTTGACAAGATAGGCGCTATATAAGTACAGTCCATTTACCATTTACCTTTTAATAGTCACCTCTCATCTAAGTCTAGCTTCCACAACTCTCTCTCAGATCTTCATCGTGTGGCTCAACTTAATACCCCTGTAGTTCCTACAACTTGTACATCACCCTTGTTCTTAAAAATGGCCACCAGCACACTTATTTTCCATTCCTCAGGCATTTTCTCACCCTCAAATATGACATTGAATATTTGAGTCAAAAACCTCACTGCCATCTCTCCAAGACATTTCCAAACCTCCACTGGTAGAGTTGCATTCGGCCCAAAAAATCCATCCGACCCGACCCCAACCTGCAGTCATCATTTCTGAACCCCACCCAACCCGATGAATTAACAGTAATTACAGGTCCGAACCCGGACCCCCCCCAACATTTTTCATTAGTTATTAATGCTCGGGGATGCGCAGCTAAATTAAGGGGCAGAAGATCAGAGCTGAGAGGTGTTTGTCCTTTCATGGCCGTAAAAGAGCATTTAAACCCTGTTTCTGCCTGCATTCTCCTGGCTTACTCAGACACGTGGGCAGCTCTGGCTGGAATTTTTGACGTGGGTGGGGTGTCAGCTTCACCTAGCTCTCTGACACACGTCTGCTTTGTGATCTCACCTGTTTGGGTCATCAGCTGCACGCATCCACTGAGTGCAGCGGCTGAATGAATGTCCATTTGGGCGATGGATCATGTCGTGGCAGTACAGTCCCATCTGAAGCTTAACTGAACTTTTTACCTCTTTCAAGGCCGGTCAGCTCGCAGTGAAATGGCAGAGTGCGGCTGGTGAAAGTATGGCAGGCCATGTTGTCATATAATTGGATAGCGGCTGATCCTCCTGACCCAATTAAAAGCCCGACGACGACCCGGTTCGTCCATCCAGCACATTATAATGGCCCGGCCCGCCCCAAATTCGGGTCAGGTGGGGCCAGGCTTAGGGCTCGGGTTAGAAATGACAGCTCTATCCACTGGTATGTCATCAGGTCCTATCTGTTTCATGTTGCTGCTGATCTGTTTCATGTTGCTGCTGATCTGTTTCAATGTTGATGTGTTCATGCGTGCACATCTGCTCACAGACTCATGTTCATGTTTGTGCTGATGTTCAATGTTTTATGTTATGAGTGCTTAGTGTATATTTAGTTGATGTTTTTCTTAGTTCATATCTTAGATGTTATTACTGTTTTTCTTATACATTTTATTGTCGGATGTAACTGGGACCCCGTGTACATAATTTCGCTCCACCACATGTACCACATGAGGTGCGAATGACAACAAAGAAACTCTGACTCTGACTGACTCTTCCTCTTCTTCATTCCTCTCAGTGCTTTCCTAACTTCTCCCTCATTAATCTTTTGCATTTCCTGGGCCATAGTTTGTATTACCATTACCCTTCTTTCTCTTTCATTCTTTTCATTCATTAGCTCTTCAAAGTACTGCTTCCATCTTCCCGTCACACTCTCCTTACGTGTTAGAAAATTATCATTCCCATCTTTAACAAGCTTAACCTGCTGCACATCCTTTCCAGCCTGATCCTTCTGTCTTGCCAGTCCATACAAGTCTTTATTGCCTTCTTTAGTGTCCAGCCTCCCATACAACTCATCGTATGCCTTCTGTTTTGCATTTGCCATCTCCCTCCATGCTCTACATTGCATCTCCTTATATTCCTGTCTCCTCTCTTCAGTCATCTCACTGTAACATTTCTTCTTGGCATAAATCAATGGGACGCTCACTTCTTAGTTTGTGATTTTCTTCCCACACTTCCTTAAACCTCACAAACTTCAACAAAGATGTTAAATTCATGCCATGATAATACACGCGCGAACTAATCCTAAATAACACCCGCAAAACACTTTTTTTTTTTTTACAATTGATTAGTTTTCTAATTAACTCAGTCAATTGTCAAAAAAAAATCTTCACTCATGTTTCTAGACGGCCTATGCATTTATTTATCCTTATTTCACGGTTCTGGTGTAAAATAATGTGTTTTGCGGGTGTTATTTCGCATTAGTTCGCGCGTGTACCATCTCACAATGAATTTAACATCTTTGTTTGAGTTTGTGACGTTTAAGGAAGTGTGAAAAAAATTCACAAGCTAAGTGAGCGATTGGATTGCTCTGCGACAAAACGCTCCTAATCTCGGTACAAACTTCTTTTTAAAAAGTGCGCCTTTATTTTAAGCTTCGTGGCAAGTTGAAAGACTTCCTGGTACATGTTTGAGAATATCGTGGATTTGTTGTGACGACTGAGCCTCGGCTCTAACAAGAATAGCTCAACACCAATGAGCGCACACCATCTACTTTAAAGTTAACACCAACGGTATTATATTATTATTATTTTACTTTACTTATCGTGTTTATTTTGGCTCGATGTGTGAGGCTACTGTCCACTAGCAGCTTCTTTGTGCTGTCTGTGTGAGCAGACAGAGATACGGATGTTGCTCCACTTCCCTGACGCTCCACAAAGGCATCACCAGGAACCAGAGGAGGGCAGACATCTTCGAACAACGTCCCGGGGTCCACAGACAGCCGGCCGGGACAGCCTCACAGCAGCACCCGGACATGGAAGGAGAGGTGTTTGAGCAGGTGGTGTCCGTGTTCGGCACGCTGGTGTCGTGGGTGGCTGCTGGGGCCATGGTGTTCGGGGGGGTGGTGCCCTACATCCCCCAGTATCGGGACATCCGGCGGACCCAGGACGCAGAGGGCTTCTCCACCTACGTGTGTCTGGTCCTGCTGCTGGCCAACATCCTGAGGATCCTCTTCAGGTGAGTCTGACGTCATCAGCCCACCACGAGAGATGTAACTAAAGTTTGACACTAAAGGGATGTTGGGTCAACTTTAACGCTCAATTTATTTTATTCTTTATCCTTCTTCATGCTGGTGTTTGACATGTCAGGTCATGATCATAGGTGGTTTCCTGTAGTCTCACATGGCTGTGGAGGATCTTTGTCCCACTCTTCTTTCCAGCGTAGCTTCAGCTCATTGAGGTTTGCAGACGTTCAGCTCTCTGAAGGTCCAGCACAGCAGGTCACTCAGGTGGAGGTTCTGGACCTTGATTCTGCTCTTTTGGAGCCGTTCTGTTGTAGTTTAGCCGCTGTGTTCAGGATCATTGTTCTACTGCATCATCATGACCCAGTTTGGTCCAAGCTTCAGCTGCTAGAACCATTTGGTCTGTAGAGTTCATAGGCTCAATGACTGCAAGGAGCCCAAACCATCATCCCTCCACCACCGTGCTGACGGCTGGTATGACGTGTTTGAGATCGAACATGGTTAATATATATAGCGTAGATCTTTTAGCGTATTGTTTATAGGCCTGTCGCGATAAACAATAAATCAATTCATTGCATGATAAATGAAAATTATCGACCATTTATCGGCTTTATCGTTTCTTCGTGTGTCTCTTTTTCTACTGGACACTGTATGACAAACTCAACTCCGGTGCTCTTCACTGACTCCTCCTTTTCTCTTTTAAAATCTGTTTTAACGATCCAAAAATCACGTTTTTGGATCGTTAAAAGCAGCTAAGCTGAGAAGCTAAGCTACGAGTTAAGCTAACAGGTCAACCTTGAAAAAAAAAAAAAAGAACTTCGTCTTGTCGAAGCTCCAAAATTCACGATTGAAACCCGTGCCTTCATGTAAAACGTTGATTTTTTTTCCTGCAAAAAGAAGCTGAGAACTTGTTTACTGATTTCTTTGTTATTAAAAGCTTTGTGTGAAAAATACTATGCTAAAGAGTTCAAACCACACTGAGCGTCCGCCATTTTAAGAACCAAAAAAAAAGGAACGAGAGACAGCCCATTTCATGTCAAGGGGCCTCCCTCCCATTTTTCTTAGAGAGGAGCTGCTCGATCCCTTGATCAATCTTTTGGTTCAAACAGTCTTATACTGCCATACAGTGGTCAAAAAAGGTACTACACTCAACACAAATTAACCAACATTTCTTCTTAAATTTGACAGAAGTTACTAATTATTGTCAAATTTCAAACAATATTATCGTTTATCGCAATAATTTCTGAGACACTTAATCGCCCAGCAAAATTTGTTATCATGACAGGCCTAATCGTTTAGCATTCGTTTAACGTATATCTTAGTATATATCTCAGATCCTTATATACGGTTTCTTTTGGTACTTTATATTTTGCAATTTTTGGGTGTAACTGGGACCTTGAATACATAATTTTGCACGACATATGATGCGAATGACAATGAAACCTGAACTTGAATTTAATCTGGATAAAAAAATCTCTGCTTTGGTTTCATCTGTCCAAAGGTGTTCCAGACTTCTTGTGGTTTATTTGAATGTAACTTTGCAAACCTCTAATTGTTTTGTATTTTTCCAATTGTCCTGTAAATAACTAACTGAAACCTTTAACTTCTAAAATTATGAGCTTGGGTTTTGCAGTTTCTCTGATCATTGTATGGTCTGAACTCTGGATTAAGTTCCTGGGACGTCTACTCCTACGGACATTGGCAACTATTTTAAAAGCTTTCCACATGTGGGGAAAAAAAATCTTTATGTCCAGTAATTGTTTCTAAATTGAAATGACCTTTGACCCTTCCCTGATTGATGAACACCAGTTGCTTCTCTAATATTAATGCTGTCTTTTGGTCTTGGCGCTGTGTTTCACACACCTCTCTGCTCCAGAGCAGAAAACTGACCAAACTTGTTTTATAGAGGTGATCACACTGATGATGATCAGTTGATCAATACATTTGATCAGCAGCATTTAGATTATCCTGAACTTCATCATTTTAAAGTCTTGATAAGTACAAAGCTAGAACTGAAAGACGTTGGACTTCTTTTTTTGCATGCACCTTCGTTTTTGGTTCTTCTGATTTCACTCGTTTCTTTCTTTATTCTCAGATTTGGTCACTACTTTGAGACGCTGCTGCTGTGGCAGAGCATCATCATGATCGGCACAATGCTCGTCATGCTGAACCTGTGCACCAACGTCCGCATGGCCGCTGAACTCAACACCAAGAGACGCTCCTTCCTAGGTCAGAAATGTTGAACAGGTCATCCTAGGAGTGCTAGAAACACTTGAATACTGTGCCAGAGCTGAGTGAGTGAGTGAGTGAGTGTGTGAGAGGCCAATATTAGTTGTTTATGGCCTGGTGAGCAGGATTATAAAGGGTTCTCTATACTTTGTTAAATGCATAAGCATGAAATATAGTGGTGTTTATTTGTTCATATTGATGCAGAGTTAAACCAAAGGTCCTGCATGTTTTTTCTGCAAAAAAAACTTTCTTATTTGGTGTTACACCTTTCAAACACATCTGCTAGTTAAAAACTATAAAATTAAGTTACGGCTTTATTGTTGTGGCCAAATTATTCCAAATCTCTAAACAAAAGAAATGTTGTGTGATGATGCGTACCTCACTGGTTTATAGTTAACTGCTCCTTTTTGTTAGAGCTCCTGTACTGTTGGGTTTTAAAATTAATTTATCATTTTTATAAAAGAAAGAAACACAGTGCTTCATTTGAGTTGTATCTACAGCTTTTTGTGGAGTCTTTGCACTTACGTATGAGGCAGTATCATGGGTATACGTTTGGACATGTTTACAGCTTTCAGGTAAATCATTATTTTCCAAGCAGAAAAGCAATGGTCCTAAAATAAAGCCTTGTGGAACGCACATTTTGTAACTTTGAAAGGTTGATTTCATTCACCTAACTCTAACACACTTTGTTGTTTTTAATAGCTTTTTGGAACTTGGAACTAATAGATTTATGTAAAAATAATCTTACGGTTCATCATATCAAAGAGATTATTTTAAGAATATTGCTCTGACTATATTGCTGTCATCTAAAGATCTTTTAATATTTTCTATAAAAATAGCAGAGAGGCAGTTTTGTTGAATATCCTTTTCAAAATTCAAACTGTAAATCATTATTATCCAAGCAGAAAAGCAATGGTCCTAAAATAAAGCCTTGTGGAACGCACATTTTGCAACTTTGAAAGGTTGATTTCATTCACCTAACTAACACACTTTGTTGTTTTTAATAGCTTTTTGGAATTTTGAACTATTTAGATTTATGTAAAAATAATGTTATGGTTCATCATATCAAAGAGATTCTTTGCTCTGACTATATTGCTGTTATCTAAAGATCTTTAATATATTCTATAAAATAACAGACAGTATTCAGTCTACTCATTTTTTATTTCTGGCTAGTACTTGTCTAAAACATTGATAAATGTGTAATATATTGATTGATTATTAAAACCAGTTTAATGCTAGATTTTGTATATTTTATAGGCAAGTCTGGATTTAGTTTTAGAAGATTTTGTAAAATTTCGGTTGAAACTAACAAATGATAACAGAAGATCTAACCTTACATGTTGTGTACCTTTTATAAGCAACAATGAATTAAGTACTTGAATACCCACATTTATTCTGTCTTTATCCATGGGAATATTAGAAAAATGTTTTTTTTTTCATTTTTAAAAGATTTCTCGGTAACCTACATCTTGTAACAATGGATGCAAAAAGAAACCCTCAAACATTTAAAAGTCCTGCATTTCATGCACGTACCTTGTATTGTGTGAAGTGTTGCTTTATATTTCTTCATGTATGTGACACCCTGAAAGAAGATGAATGAAACTGAATGATGAGTGTTAACTCGCACAGCCTGGATGTCCAGGGAGAGGTCTCGTCTGTTTTCAAAGAAACGTTGAATTCATGGGAAACTGTTCCATGAACCAGTCCAGACTATACTAACAATACTCTTATTTAATGAGTAAGGCTTTTCTCTTCATAAACTGTGAATCTGGAAACAGTAAGGGTCTTTGCTCCAGGTCAAGCAGGGTGAGATTGGTCGTGATTTTGCAGCTGTGCTGGCTGGGAGCTTAACGGGCCCAGTATACTTCATCTGAAGCCGAACAGTCGACGTGTGGCCATGTGGTTACAAGTCATTAGTTTTCATACACATCTTTTATAGTCCACAAGACACAGATTCAGAGCTCCTGGGTTTCTTCTTGCCAGAGTCTCCACTCTGTCCCTGCAGCCGCCATTTGGCCACACATCTATCATGAAGAGAGCACCACATTTTTCAGCACAGATTCCTCCATACACGACATCTGCACAAGTTCCTTTCAGGAGTTTTTGGCCATTTAACCAATTTACTGTGTTTAGTCGTACAGCTGAATGTCCGACCACATTTTTACATTTGACGAACATGCCCACAAATTTCTAGCCAGTCACACAATACTTGGCGCTTGTGACTAAAAGTTCCTTGTGTTGAGAAGGGGCAGCCAAAGTTGATCTGCAAACAAAATGACGTAATTTTCATCATGCAACTACGACAACGAGAGACGATTTTGGCACTTTGGATGGAGTATGTCGGACTCTTTATCAAATTTGCAGGCAATGCTGTTATCTTTGGGGTAGGTGGTTGATTGTTGGTTTGTGAGCACTCATGTTGGGTTTTGGGTCTTACGTCTTGTCCGCGGACGGTTCTGCACAACACTATGGTGTTGCTTTTTTCCTGAGCTCAGTCTTGACCTGTTGGTATCCAGTTATTGCCTGAACAGCTCTTCAGTTGACACCGGTTCAGTCAGACAGCCTTGTCTCAAACCAGGATGTGTAAGCTACAGTTATCTCTGCCCCACCGATGTCAATGTCATTCCCCTGACAAAGGAGAGCACTGCCCAGGGAGACACAATCTGCTGCGATAATGCGATTCTAACCTTGTTCAGGAGAGAAGATACTTTAAAAACATCTGGGCTCCAACAAGCTCCGCCAGTCACCTGGCCTTGTATATCTCTAAAGCTTAGCGGCGAAGCTCAGAGCATGAGTCATGGCCACTTAAGCCCAATAGATTTTGTTCCACATGAGTGACGGGAAAACTGCATTGTTTGAATGAAAGGGTTTTGTTGTCATTTTAGTATTCTGACAAACCATTAATGTCATGGATGGAGTCCAGCACATCAGTGTCCTTATGAGAAGAGTCCATCTGAAATTGACCTAATGGTGTCCAAATAATGCTCCTGTTTTGTTTCATCAATGCACTCCATATTGTGAGCACAGCTGGTGAAACTGAAAAACAGTCATCGACAACAAGCAGGGTCCCTTACCATGGAGTGCAGGGGATTTTCCCTGACAGCACTTTCTCCTAGCGCTCCTTGAGAAAACCCCACTTTCCTAGGGTCAAGTATCAACGCTGGTGGCAGAAACGACATCCTTCATGTTCCACCAACATTTTCATGGCATAGACAAACCCAGAAAAACACCCCATGCTTCATGCTGCTTTTTTTTTTAATGAAGAAAGATGTTACATCTTTGTAGACGGAGGTGAATAGGGGATTTCTACTTTGCTTGCTTCAGCTTGGTGCTCATCCTGGAACAGAAGTCCAAACAACAGAACACCTAAAACTATTGCTCTATGAGCAGGCAACAGAGACAAACACCAACCCATGCAAGAAAACAAGGCTATCTAGCAGTAGCCAGTTAGCCTGAATGTAGAGACATGTATTTAGTGAGGTGAAGAGTATAAGAACCAAAGAATGGCTGTGATGGCCACTTGCATGTGCATGTAAGGTGTCTTCAGTCAGGTCACATGATGGTTTGCTATCTCAGACATCATGTGTTGGGTAAGTTGACTGAAAAGGAATGCACGCTGTTCTGACTAATGGGAATTGATCTCAGTTGGTTCAACACATTGCTACATTCAGTTTAAGTCATAAAAGGTCATATGAGGGTGAAGGTAGAAATTTTACTGGATGACTAAATAAAGGCTTCAACGACTAACAGCAACCAGAATATTTTTGGAAATTAGTAGAATTATTTAGACAATTAACTGCAAAATGTTGATGTCTGGTTTTTCTAATAAATTCCAACAAGAATCCAAAGATACTTTTGTCTTCCTCTTATGTCTTTAACAGCAATCCAACGTAGTTATCACTACATAGTTACATACACACAGATAGAAACGGCCTTCACAGATCAACATACTTCCTTTATATTAGCAGACATTTATCAGCTTTGGACACACTGACCTTGACCTTATTGCTTTCTAGTTAGCTTATATTCACTTTAGTGTATTTAATTTTATCAGGAAGTACCCTCATCTCTCTAGGAAACTGGTTATATTTTATAAAACCCTGATTATTATTCTACTTTGTGGTGTTTCAGTTCTGCCGACTTTTACAAGAGTCAGCTAGACAAAATAAACAATGAAATAATGTAAAAAAAATTGTAAGTAGATACAATAGTTTGCATGCCTGCAGGTTGACACTGACTTGATAAAATAAGTTAAATATGTTCATTTATTTCATACTTTTGAGTGAGTTTTTTTTTATATATATAGCTCTGTAATGAAATTTGGATTCAGAACCATACTACAGAACAATACCATATTTTCTGCCTTACAAGTTGCAGTTTTTTGCATAATTTACTTGCCCTGCGACTTATAGGCCGAAGCGACATATTTATGGATTTTTTTTTTTCCCATATTTGTAAATCAATTTTTGGCTGAGATATGACTGTTTTCATTCATTCTGACTGAATTTTTTTTAAGCAGTACCACTTTCAGCTACTTGATAGCAGCAGAGTAGTAGTAGCATTGTGGAATGCTGTTGTATCATGTAATAGGTAAATGTGGCTATAATGACAAATTCAAAAAAGTTCAAGACAAAAACAACTGGATTTTATTTATTATACTTTAATTAATACTTTTTTCTTGAACTTTTTTGAAGTTACCATGTCCTGAATGACTGAGAATCTTCACTAGCTATTAATGACACAATCGGCTTGCCATAAAACCTCCACCTTCGTTCTGCTCGTTGCTTGGACCAACTGGGAAATGCAGCTAATTTGACCATTAAAGTGCATTTATTAAGCAAACGTTAGAATGAGACACACATTTGCTATAATTTTGAGCAAACAAATAATTGATTTTAAGTGTTAATCTTGTTAAAGTCCTCCCGTGTACACACCCGCGGCTGCCAAAATTGATTTTTGGCACTGCACTGGACCACATTTCCAGGTTGTCAGTGGTGACTCGAAACAAACGCGCCAGTGGTGACACATAATAGATGCAATGTGTACGGCGAAGCAACATATTTTTGGATTTTTTTCCACTTTTTTAGACAAATATGGATTGATGCGACATAGGGCGGAGCAACGTTTACTGCGGAAAATACAGTACTTAACATGTTCATGGCAACACTCATGAGAAAGCACTGTAGTTTTACATACAGTTCCTTGCGAAAGTATTCGGCCCCCTTGAATTTTTCAACCTTTTGCCACATTTCAGGCTTCAAACATAAAGCTATAAAATTTTAATTTTTTGTGAAGAATCAACAACAAGTGGGACACAATCGTGAAGTGGAATGAAATTTATTGGATGTCAAACTTTTTTAACAAATAAAAAACTGAAAAGTGGGGCGTGCAATATTATTCGGCCCCCTTGCGTTAATACTTTGTAGCGCCGCCTTTTGCTGCAGTTCCAGCTGCAAGTCTCTTGGGGTTTGTCTCTATCAGTTTTGAACATGGAGACACTGAAATTCTTGCCCATTCTTTCTGTAAAACAGCTCGAGCTCAGTGAGGTTGGATGGAGAGCGTTTGTGAACAGCAGTCTTCAGCTCTTTCTACAGATTCTCAGTTGGATTCAGGTCTGGACTTTGACTTGGCCATTCCAACACCTGGATACGGTCATTTGTGAACCATTCCATTGTAGATTTGGTTTTATGTTTTGGATCATTTTGTTGGAAGATAAATCTCCGTCCCAGTCTCAGGTCTCTTGAAGACTCAAACAGGTTTTCTTCCAGAATGGTCCTGTATTTGGCCCCATCCATCTTCCCATCAATTCTGACCATCTTCCCTGTCCCTGCTGACGAAAAGCAGGCCCAAACCATGATGCTGCCACCACCATGTTTGACAGTGGGGATGGTGTGTTCAGGGTGATGAGCTGTGTTGCTTTTACGCCAAACATATCGTTTTGCATTGTGGCCAAACAGTTGGATTTTGGTTTCATGTGACCAGAGCACCTTCTTCCACATGTTTGGTGTCTCCCAGGTGCTTGTGACAAACTTTAAACAACACTTTTTATGGATATCTTTGAGAAATGGCTTTCTTCTTGCCACTCTTCCATAAAGGCCAGATTTGTGCAGTGTACGACTGATTGTTGTCCTATGGACAGACTCTCCCACCTCAGCTGTAGATCTCTGCAGTTCATCCAGAGTGATCATGGGCCTCTTGGCTGCATCTCTGATCAGTCTTCTCCTTGTTCGAGATGAAAGTTTAGAGGGACGGCCGGGTCTTGGTAGATTTGCAGTGGTCTGATACTCCTTCCATTTCAATATGATTGCTTGCACAGTGCTTCTTGGGATGTTTAAAGCTCGGGAAATCTTTTTGTATCTAAATCCAGCTTTAAACTTCTCCACAACAGTATCTCGGACCTTCCTGGTGTGTTCCTTGGTCTTCATGATGCTCTCTGCGCTTTGAACGGAACCCTGAGACTATCACAGAGCAGGTGCATTTATATGGAGACTTGATTACACACAGGTGGATTCTATTTATAATATTGCACGCCCCACTTTTCAGTTTTTTATTTGTTAACAAAGTTTGACACATCCAATAATTTTAATTCCACTTCACGATTGTGTCCCACTTGTTGATTCGTCACAAAAAATTAAAATTTAATATCTTTATATTTGAAGCCTGAAATGTGGCAAAAGGTTGAAAAGTTCAAGGGGGCCGAATACTTTCGCAAGGCACTGAACATTTACACAAGATGTTCTGTGTGACACACATACAGCCAAAAAGTACACAAGTGGTCAGTTTCAACACCTCAAGTGTAAAATGTAAAATTAAGAGAGCGGACATGTTTAAGTTTTGTTCAAACCAAAGAAGAAAACCAAGCTGTTGTGTCTCTCTTTATTTTTTATTTTATTTGTAGCCACAGACAGTAAGGACGAGGAGATCCGAATCCCTAAGAGGCTCTTTCTGGGTACGTACAGATCCTACTGCCTACCTTGGAACATCAGTTGTAGTTCATCTACCTGTCCCTGTCCATCCCAAGCATGATGATGCAGCTAATGCTACCTGCTCACGACTAACACCACTTCCAACACATGTAAATGAAGCATGAGCCTCTTTCACTCGCTCACATTTCCCCCATGTTACATCTGTGAACATCTGTAAATGCCACTGCTGTGCTGCATTCTTGCATGTGACTTTATGCTTAATACAAGTAACGAATACAATTAGCGAATCTGTGTTACCTGAACAACTTTTGTGTTTTTTGCATGTTTGTTTGAAACTAAATCTGGAAACAATGCAATCCTTCATGCGCTCTGAGTTGACGAAGAACCCCATGTTTGCAGTGGTTTGACCTGATCTGTAGCACATGTTCTAACTTCATGCTTGTGTTTTGATCTGAACTATAATCAGCTGTTTGTGTGTAATTACTTTTGACTGCTGCATTACTCTTTTTGTCCTTGTATGAGTAAATATGAAGCATCTTTTCTAATGGCTGGTTTATGTCCAATGCACCTTTTTAATAATGTGTTTGAACTACACAGTTTCAAGAAATGACAATATGTTGAGCAGTATGGGGGATGTAGAAAAGTCTCTGTGAGGGGCTGAAACCAGTGAGTCTATTTTCAACCAGTTTTGTCTAAAGAGATGGGTGATGCTGCAGGTGTAAGATGTTTTTTTTCTACCAAATGTTGATCTTTCTCCCTTTATGGCTTTGTTCAACTTCCATATATTTGAATTTGCCTGTAGTATTGGGTGATATGAAAAACAAAAACATTGTCAACTGTCTTTCATATCAACCAACAGTTGGCGATGAAGTGCATTTGTATAGATGTGTTTTTAAGTGGATTTTATTGGCACATTCTTATATCTTAGTTCCACTTAAAATTTAAATTTATGATCAAATAACGACCTGTCTAGTGTGTACCTTGCCATGGGCCCAGTGACTGCTGGACACCCTGCACAGAAAAGATGGAGGGGCTGATTGATGGAAGTTAAAGTCATATCAGAGTTCATATTTACACTTTAGGGCCTAGAAAGAAAAAAAGTAGTTGTAAGCAACATGACGATTTTTATCTTCTCATATCTCTAACTTATCTTACTTAGCATTACTGAGTAGTCTGTAATTCTAAGACTGTATTAGTATTTGTTCTAAGTACTGTTAGTATTTGTACTTCTTACAAAGTGAGTTCACATGTGCATTAAATTACTAATGTAATTAGTTTATTAACTAATTATTAGTTCTTACTATGTAATATGGGCTTTGTGCTTCATGATCTTTATTAGAACAAAAATTATATATATATATATATATATTTATATATTTCCTCTGTGTGTCCCATCGGTGTATGAATGTGATAAAGCACTGATTATTCTTTGTAGAGATATAGTAGAGTGCTGTATGAATTGGAAAATGAGGACATCATTTGTAAAGAGCTTTGAGTATCTTGATCAGATGGAAAGGCACTGTACATGTACACATCACACAGATCCTTGTGAAGTAATAAAATGTAGTTTAGGCCAGACCTGTTGTGGACACCTTAAGTCAATTTTCTGGAAACTGATCAGGTTGAGTTTATCTACAGTGGTTTTAATTTGATTTGAATATTTATGTACAGGTTAAAATTCTTGAATGGAATTCAGTATTGGAATATTAACCTAGCTAAACTACAAGTGGGAAAAACAACTCTCCTTAAAACAAGCATTTGATGGACTTAACCAGTCGACGATGGTCAACATATTCGCCCATTTCTTAGTTTGGAGATTCTCCATTAGACATTCTTGAGTTTCTTTCACTGCTTGTTTTGCTGTGTAAATCTTTTTTTTTTTTTTTTTTTTTTTTAAGAATCCTTTGTATACTATTTGAGAAGCAAAAGTAAAATTGAAAGTGTTAATTTTAAGTTATTTGTGATTGAGGAAAAACAGATTTATGTAACAAAATGAGAATTTGGCTTTTGACATCTGTCATGGTGAACAAAGACGACTTTTAGACAGATGATGTTCAAATGGAGAAAATCGAAGACCTTAGTCTTGGGACTCCTGATTTTACAAAGCAAGACTGCTTGTTAGCTGGACAAACGCCGAATCCCACCGATTCTCTTCAGCGGTGTGTTCCTGCACCACAGTGGAGGAATCCAATGGACATGTGTACTTCATTATACAGAACAGTCCTAAAAGGTTGTTGTCGGGTGACTGTTTGCAAGTGCAAATAAGAACTGTAGTATAGACTTCAAAAAAACTAGCTGCCAAGTTGTACACTGGAACAAAGAACACTAGGTGGCAGTAAGATACAATGTAAGAATGAAGCAACCAAGTATAAAAGACTGTGTCCTAATATGATCGAAACATCACAAGGTGGGTTGTGTACTTTGATGTCAGAAATAATAGACCTTCATTATTTTTGCCTCAGGTCACTTAGACTCTTTGGCATAAGCATGTCTTCACACCTTCAGACATGTCTACTATGAAAGGTGCCGGTGTCTGACAAGTGGCTTGAGCCTCTGAAGGGTCATCGATCACCCAGCTCTGCCAAGCATCATAAGAGCCGCAGGAAGCCGTGTTCTTTGTGCCTGCTTGGTGATCCGCTGTCGTTGATGAATAGCTGTAACATCACTCAGAAAAAGCAACTTGGAGCAATTGGAGGCTCTGACTTTGACATAAGCTACAAAACAGAAATCTGTATTCATTCATCTGTTAGATGAGATTCATGTACCTGTGGTGAACACTGTTCAGTCAGCAGAAAGACGTTCTGTGATTAACCACCATGTTCCGTGGTTTGTTCTCCGAGCCTTAATCGAAGCACTTATTGTTCTCATAAAAGCAGTGCACTGTCACGCCAGGCAGCTCCATCTAACAGCTGAACGTGTGTAGAGAAAAACACGCTTCAGCTGAATTTTAATAGAATTTCCTCAGATGGACAAGTAAGGCTGTATTATAGATGTGACTAACAGTGAACATTTTACGTCCATCCATCTTCTTTATCTGCTTTTCCTTTCCAAAAACTGGTGCCTACCTCCAGTAATCACGGGGTGAGAGGCGGGGAACGCCCTGGACAGGTTGCAAGTTCATCACATCACCAGTGAACATTTTGTGTTGGGATGCTTTATCTAATATTGTTTAATCAGTGGCTGTCAAACCTGTAAGTGTGGAGTTTGAAGAATGCCTGCAGTGCGTGAGTCCTAGTCAAACAACCATGTGTGCTATATTGTATATCTTGGATCGCAGTTTCCTACTCAGGATGGATGTTGTACCAGCAACATGGGATGATTTCTATAGAAGACAGTCTGCTGCATTCCTGTAAGGACATTAAAAGTTCTGATCATCCAACTGTGCCAAAATCAGCATCACTGGTGATCAATCAAGTGTAGGTAAAAGGATTTGGTTTAAAAAAATGGATTAAATATCTGTAGAAAAAGTTTTAAAAATAACTGTGGTGGGAGTTTTTCTTTCTTTTATACTGGTTTGTGTATAAATGAAGACAGAAAGAGGAAAAAAATTAAGGCCTTGGGCCACAAACTGATTGGATTTATTTGTTTATTTTTTGTAATTTTCCACTGGGATATAAAACGAATTAGTGTCGGCAAGTAAACCGTAAATCCAGGATCCGATGTGGGAACATCGTGCCTTTATGTCTTCAGACTGTGTTTGCTTGTTTGTCCTCACAGAATATCAGCTTCTTTCTTTTTAACCAAATTCTTTTTGTTTTCACTTTCTTTCAAGTATCAAGAATCTTTATTATCCCCAAGGGGCAATTTGTTTCACAGTCAGTGGGCACATAAAACATCCAGACCAGACAAGACATCGAGACATTAAAATACAGAAATCTTCACTGTCCGTTGAGAAGCCTGATCGCTACAGGGATGAATGAGTGTTTCAGTCTGTTCGTCCTACATCTGGGCAGCAGATACCTGCGTCCAGATGAAAGCAACCTGAACTCACCATGGAGTGGGTGATCAGGATCTGCCAGAATCATCCTGGCCTTGTTCACTGACCTCACCTTGTGTAGGTCAGTGAAGTTCTGTAGGGCTAAACTAGCAGTTTTACTGCACCTCCTGACAATCCCCAAAAGTTTGTTCCTGTTTATGCATGTCAAAAACCCAAGCCAACAGATGAAGGTGAAAGTTAAGAGACTCAATAAAATATGAATAAATTATTCTCATAAAAGTTGAATCAACATTAAACCCACAGAGCTTAAGATTAAAATACATTCTCTGGTGGTCCTTCTTACAAAGTGAGTTCACATGTGCATTAAAGGTCAGTTTGTCATCAGGAACAGTTCTCAGATATTTCTACTGATGCACCACCTCATCAGCTTCACTGTTAATGACCACAAGAGCTGCAACTGAAGAGTCTTTTCTAAAATCAATGACCATCTCCTTTGTCTTAGAAACATTTAAAAGGAAGACTCACACCATTCATTGAAGTCCCCGACCACAGGCCTGGGGTCTGGATCATCACTGCTGAGAAGGGACAGGTTGACGGTCATCAGCAAACTTTGAGATGCGACCCTGTGGATTATACTGGCTGCAACAATTGTTTGTGTATAAAATAAATAAAGGGGCAAAAGAACGCAGTCCTGAGGGGAACCGGTAGAGGACAGAAAGACATCAGAGAGAACCCCGTTGACCCTTACCCACTGAGCCCGAACAGTTAAAAAGTCCACAAGCCAACATGAGGCCAGATTCGAGACCATAAAAGCATTGTAATTTATCAGCTAAATTGTGGGGCTGAATACAATTAAAAGCAGATGAAAAGTCAATAAAAAGCAGTCTTACAAATGTTTTTGTACCTTCAAGATGTTCTAAAATCATATTGAAGAGTTCCTGTTGCGTCCTCCACTCCTCTACGTGAATGATAAAACAAATTTAGGTGGCTTCAAATGATCTTCAACTTTTGACAAGAGGATCTCCCGGACCAGTTTTCGAATGACTTCATTACTAATCAAGTCAGGGCAACAGGCCTGAAATCGTT